TCTGAACTGACTCAGTATAATTTTTGAACAGCTTACAATATCCTGCGATATTTTAAAACACCTTTAGTTAGCAATTAAAATGGAGCCAAGGGATAAGACAGTTGTTAATCGTTCATAACTGATTTTTTTCTAATACTATTTTTTACTTATTTTTGTTCTAAGTATCCACACTTTGTTTGAACTATATTTTTGGACACTGAAGTAAAATGTAATTTTTTTTTACAAATTTATTAGTTCTGTATGAACATGCTTATTATAAGTTTGTTTTTATAACTTCTATGGTGTAAATCGTTATTAGTTTTTATTTGACGACAAATTAAGGTTTAATACCAAATACAATGGTAGCTACTTCAACAACGAATTTTATACTTTATGTATGGAATTTATAAACATCTCTATAATTACATGTAAACAAATACAACATTAATTTTCACACCCGTATATATACATATATTCAAACAAGTAGAACCTTCATTTGCAACAACTGATTTAGAGGTGCATGTTAAACAAAGTTAGGTGGGCGTGCACACATCAGAAAAAAGCAAATTTCTAACAGCATGCAGCCAAAGTACAAATTATATTACAGTGTTCCAGCCACATTACCTAAAACTTATACTACTCACTTTCTCCAATTTATGTGAAATCAGTGGCAGTCTAAAATACTAAAATAGACTTTTAAATCTGAATATACCCGTTAAGTTGCATATATATATATATATCATTTACATTCGGAGCCCCTGCGTTGCGACCACTCAAACGCCAAGCTTCCGCTATGAAATATTTTGACATATATCACAAAGTTACAAATGTTCACGCTTATGTGCGATTTTTCTCTTGTTAAGAAATTTATGCATAACTTCCTAAATTTCATCAGGATTTTATTATCTTTCTGCCGTCGAAACGGTATGTGAATATCAGACTATACACTAACCACTTATACAATGTGCTTTTGTTCATAAGGGTTTATTATTATAATTATAATCAACAAACTAAGTTTAGTCATACGAACTGAGAATCTGAGGATATTAAAATTCAGAAAGGGCATCATTTTTTTTTTCTGTTAGCTAGTGGATTGATTATCATTTCAAATTAGTCTAATACTGTGTTACATAAGTTTCAAAGGTATAAATTCACAATATAATAAATGCAAACGTTACTTATATCTTTAGAACAGTGTCATTTTTAACTAATATTTCAAAGGTACATTTCATTAAGTGATTATGTTTGAGCCCCCCAGTGGCATAGCGGTATGTCTGCGGACTTACAACTCTAGAAACCGGGTTTCGATACGCGTGGTGGGCAGAGCACAGATAGTCCATTGTGTAGCTTTGTGCTTAACTGAAAAGAAAGAAAGATTATGTTTGGTTAGATTATTTTATTTAACTTGTTACAGTAAGTAAGCATTTATTAAATTGAATTATTTAGAATATATTCAATAACAATATTTTTCTGGAGTTTAAATCCTCTTATAATTGTCAGATATGTTAAATAAAGTACTTCACTCAACAGTTTGCACATTAAAAAACTAGAATATTATTATATTTTGCTTAGCCTTGTAACTACAGATTTAACTATATTTCTTCATTGCTATAATGGAGTTTATTTTTGCTGTAAAATTATAAATGCAAGGGCATATCATAAAATATTTATACAGTTACTGTATCTGACTAGCATTGTTAAATACTAGTGAAGGTTGACAGTAAAAGCTATTTTATACAGACAAATGTCGTTTTGTCAGTTGTAACGTCAAAGATAGATTACTTTTATAGTAGCTAAAACTATTGAGGATATACAGACGAATAAAAAAGTTGCCTCACTCTTTATTAATCTAAATTAAAGACTTAAACAATATCCTCGTTAATATAATTCGTGTTAGATAACATTTTTGGCCTAAAAGTGTTATATTGGTCATGCTATTTCAACAATATGCCACTGTTTTGAATTATTTCAACAAATTTAAAATCAAAATATCAATCTCTGTTAATTATAGTATTTGATTTGTAAGACAGCTTTTTGACTATTTACTGTCGTGGCCCGGCATGGCCAGGTGGTTAGGGCACTCGACTCGCAATCTGAGGGTCGCGGGTTCGAATCCCCGTCACACCAAACATGCTCGCCCTTTCAGCCGTGGGGGCATTATAATGTGACGGTCAATCCCACTATTCGTTGGTAAAAGAGTAGCCCAAGAGTGTGTGGTGATGACTAGCTGCTTTCCCTCTAGTCTTACACTGCTAAATTAGGGACGGCTAACACAGATAGCCCTCGTGTAGCTTTGCGCGAAATTCCAAAACAAACAAACAATTTACTGTCGTTTCGATTATAGAAGTTAAACGTAAATAACATAGCATTAAAACTACTGAATTATCTTACGCTAAAACAGTCTAGTTTTGTACGTCTTGAATTTTTTGAATATAGTTAGTATTGTTGTAAAAATCTCTTAGACTACGTACGATGGCAATTTATCCCGGAAAGTTTTATTTTAAAAAAATGTGAAAAAGTGAACATTCTTTGAATTCAGTTCTTAAACAAAATATAATCATTTAGCAAATAAAAAAATCTTTGATCCAAAAATTATTGTGAAAAAAGAAATAACTAAAGAAAGGAAAAATATTCGATGACTTCAAAATTAAATCATGAACTTGTTATTTATGAACATATTACTAGATTCACCATAAAAGCTCGATACAAAAGATTTTGTGGAGATAGTTTTCTTATTCAACTATAAAATAGATTTTCTTGGTGAGATTCAGGGAACTACATTTAATATGCCTTGAGAATCGTAATCATTCACAACACCAGTCTTCTTGTGAAAGCGATAACACAGCTGTACCAAAGGTTACCCTGATTCGTTTTTTACTTTAATGTAAGAAGGGACGATTTGCTTTAAGAGCAAGAATGAATGAATGATTATAACTAATGTTCATGCTAGCAAAGTATAGGTCATAAAATATAGAAGTTCACGGTGATCAGAGGCACTCAGGTTTTCTATAATTCACAGTGATAACAAAGGAAAATTATCTGGTAGTAAATAACTCTCTGTTGAAGTTAATTAACAGTAATAATCCTATTCTAGGAAACTAGTATACTTTATAACTTCTAGTCACAAATGTTACTATGCGGCGTATGTATGATTTTGCATTCTAAACATAAAAGCTTTTTTCGTGGAATGTGAAAATTCTACATGTTCTATGATACCAAACATGTAGTAATAAGATTGTACGTTATTTGTGGTTCATCACAGGACCACTTTAAAAAAAATGTAGCGCTCTCCTCGGTTTCACTGCAGTTTGATACATAGAAACCACTTTCATTTGATTTATATCTACAAATATTTTTATGACACTGCAGAAAAAGGTTGAGAAAGTTTAGGCTTTTCTTATCGTGATAACATTCGTATAATGGTAGCTTTGTAAGCTATTATAACGTCATTTAGTTCTATTTTTCACTTTACGATTAATATTTTACTGGTAATTCGATTTTTTTGAGTCACTGTAATATTATTAGTTGCAATATAGCTACGCTAGGACCACTAGTTTTAAAGTTAATGTTTCACCTTCAGTAACATCCATTTCAAATCTTTCTACTATCCTTTGGACATACATACATATATATATATATATACTAACTGAGTTACCCGGCGTTGCACGGTGAAAATTTAGATTTGAAATGTATAGATCAGTATTTTTTTTAGCAAATTATTCAGTACGTAGACAAAAGCTGTGATGTAAAAAATAAAAAAGCATTTAATCAAACAAAGCTTTATTTGAAATTAGATCGTCCATCATGTTGCTCTTCTGTTTCTTGCTCTCTG